GTGGTCTGAGTGGGGAGGGGTCTGTACCTCAGAGGCTCTGAAGCGAGGCCAGCCTGTGGCCGTGTGTGGTGGCCCACTCCTGTGGTGGCCCTGGCAGGGAAGCCGCAGACCTGGGAGGGGCCCTCACAGCCTGACACCCCTGCAGAGGGCTCCCCCAGCAGGCTGGGTTCTCCGTGCAGGTGCCTGGCAGTGGGTTCTCAGCCCTGTGCTTCTGGCTCCTTGCAGCCTAACAGCCTCCCTCTGCCCCTGCAGCACCTGCAGATCAACTGGACAGGCCTGACCAACTTGCTGGACGCACTGGGCATCAGGTAGATGCTCAGGAGTGGCGGATAGTAAGCAAGGGGCCCTCAGGGCTGTGCAGTCAGTGACCGGAGCTGCCTAGTAGCTTGCCCTCCCTCCCGGCTCTCTGCGAGAGGACTGGGGTAGGCACCAAGCCCTGCCCCCTGCAGGTGTGTTTGGAGGGGGAGTGGAAACCTAACAGTGCTGGTTGGCCTCTGTGAGCAGGCACTGTGCCCAGCACACTTGTGTACACGCACGTTGTGTGTGAGCAGGGGCAGGGTGTTCTGGTCAGATGATATGTCCCATTGGAGGCCATGAGGGCTCATGGGACAGCACAGGCTCGGGAGCCAGACCAGGCTCCTGACTCTTGTCACTTAGCACCTGTGTGACTGTGGACAAGTTATTTCACCTCTCTCAGCTCCTCCTCAGTAACCATGGAGCCTGGTCCCTCGATGACAGGTCCCTGGGAGAACACGTGTGTGCGCAAGGCCCAGAGGGTGTGGGCACCTGAGTGTCTTCCTTTTGTCTGCATGCCAACCCCTCCTGACCCAGGTGTGGGGTGAGAAGCCCACATGGCCTCCCCCGATCTCCGTCGCACACAGGCATGGGAGAGGGCTGCTGTCACAGCAGAGGCCGCTGAGGAGGAGCTGGCCTGGGAAGTCGCACCTTCCTGGGACCGGGGAGGGGGCTGTGCTCAGAGCCCCGAGGGAGGGACAGCTGGTGCAGCCAGGACAAGCCCTGGCTGGCTTGCCAGGCTCGGGCAGCCATGCCTTCCCGCAGGGAGAACCCCTCACTCAGGTACTGAGGACATTCCCGCTGATCTTGGTTCCCCGGATGCAGAGAATCCAGTCATGCATTTTTTTCATTCAAAAAGTACTCAGCACCTGCTGTGTGGCAGTTGTCCTAGGCTATGTTCCTATCCCTCTCTGGGGAGATGGAATCAGGCAGTAAACAGAATTTTGATGGGACAGATATCAGGGAGTGGAAGGACTACAAGGGAAAACCCTTGCCCAGCATTTACTGTGCCCTAGGCTCTGTTTGCAGCACTGTACACACACTGGCTCATCTTCATAATAGCCCTAGGAGGTAGGCATCATTATCCTTAGTTTAGAGATGAGGAAACTGAGGTCCAGAGAGGATGGCAACTTACCCAAGGTCACACAGCCCATGGGTGGAGGAGCCAAGATTCTAACACAAGTTCCAGGCTATCACTCTTAGCTACCAGGCTGTGGTGCCTCAGAGAAGAGCAAAGCAGGACCTGGTCAGTGGCTGTCAGAATATATGCCCCCAGCCAGGCAGGCCAGGGTCAGGGCTGTGCTCTCCTGGGCAGGGCCCAGCCCACCAAACTCTGCTCCAGGGGCTGGGCGGGGCATGCAGCCTGGGGGAGGTAGGGCCACCCCTCCATAGCCGGTCGTGCCTGCTGTCCCCAGCAATGCATCAAATGGCCTGCTGGAGGACCTCATCGCCACCTACCTGGTGCTGCCCAACCGTGTGACTGTGCCAGTGAAGAAGGGGCTGGACGTGACCAGCCTGCGCTTCCCTCTGCCCTGTGTGAGTACCACAGTGACCACAGAGGCTGGGCCTGGTATTGGGGGACAGGCAGGCTAGAGAACAGAACGCATTCTCAGTTGGCAACCCTTATTTCCTCCCTGGGAGGGCCTAGTACCCCCATTTTATAGGGCAAAGACTGAGTCTTGGGAAGGCTGAATGACTGCCCCAAAGTCACCCACCTGGGGAGGGGCAAAGCCCAGATGGCATTCCTTGCTGGATCCTGGTCCCACTGTGCAGGCTGGGTTGGGGACTGTGGGCAGCCACCGCCATCCCCAGAAGCTCTAGGAGCCTCCCATCCTTCCTTCAGGGACGTGAGGCCCCCCTGACCCCATCACTCGGTGGGAAGGACCCTTGCCATCTGCTGGAAGGAGAATGCTCCCGGATGTGGGCTCTCCTGGGGGCTCAGCTCCGCTGCACGCTCCATCCTGGGTGCGGCGCAGGAGGCCCCCGAGCACAGCTACGTGGCCTCCCTACAGAAGGTGGCCTGGCTGTGGCCCAGAGCCCTTCAGGGCTGGAAGTCAGGGCCTCAGCACGGGGGAAAATGCCCATTTCCCCATCAGCACCTGCGAGGCATCGGCCTACTCAGGCTATGAAGGGTGTGGCCTGGGCCAGCCGGGGAGGAAGAACCTATGTCATCTCAGCCTTCCCATGTCATACCACTACATGACTGGCAGCCTTAGAATAAAGACACAACACTGTTACTTACATCATAACCACTGAAAACACTGTCCTTAGGATAAATGCCACTCAAGATGTTCTGTCTAGTTGTGACCATTTAAACTCATTTGGAATAGTTCCTCTCTGTGTGTTTGTGAGAACGGGCCATGGATATTTGCATTGATTCCATTCCATTTAATATTTTTAGGATTTAATTTTTACCTGCTTTTTACAATCATGTAAAATATTTGCATACTTCCAGTCCAGTGTTAAAAAACAAATTTTATTTTAAGGAGTCTGACATAATCTCCACCTTCCCCCTACAAATAGTGGTTTATCCTTCCACTGTTTTCCATTATTTGTCTTCTAATATGAGCAGGTGCATACATGTGGTTGTGCGTACAGCTCTGATTATAGTCAGAGTCTCCCTTTCTTTGAGGGATGGCAGGACGCCACAGTTTTCCCCACCTAGCCTGTCTGACTTCATATGGTATGAGGAACACTTTATATTTTTGCCAATATGCCTTTAGGGCTAGAAGTGGGATTGCTGGGTCAGAAAGTAAACGCAGGGTACAGAGACGGGAAATGTAGGAGGAGAGCACCTCAGGTGGCCTGGTTGCTGGCACAGCAGGAACTGACTGCCCTTGAATAGGCCACTCCCATGGCAGGCTGGAGGCAGGGAAGGTCTAGAAGGCCAGGAATGTGGGTGGGCGCCACACTGCCACAGATAGAGCCCCCGGCCCTGCCGTCATGTGCAGTGTGGTCTTGGCCGGAGCCTGCTGACTCTGGTTTGTCTCCCTGTCCAGACTACTAGAGGGTGAGATCGGGCTGGGGCACATTTGATGGTTTCAGCTCTGATGCTGTGGGACTTGTGGGCTGGCACAGCTCAGGAAGCAGTTGTGAGCACCAGGCTGGGGCGTTTTCCAAGGAGTCATCAGAGTCCACTTGCTGGAGGCAGAGAAGTTGGCCCAGAAGGACAGCTTTCTGGGGATCCAGGGCAAGTCAGACCCCTACACCAAGGTGAGCATTGGCCTGCAGAATTCCTGGAGCAGGACCGTCTCCAAGAACCTGAACCCCACCTGGAATGAGGTGTTTGAGGTGAGGGTCTCCTGGGCCACTCTTGGCTGCTCTTGATGCCCTCCAGGGTCCATTCTAGGTTGTGCTGGGCCCCGAGAAGGAAAGGCCTTGCCCTCATGGGTCTCACATACCATACCCATGGGCCGCAGGAGTGGACCTGGAGGACAGGCATGCTGCTCTGAGTGATCCCTACTTCCCTTACCCACAAGGCTTCTAGAGGTGGGCTGTGGTGGCCCTGTAGCAGGACAGCTTCTTGCCAAATTCCTACCTCCCTGACCCAGCAGAGTCAGCTCTGTCAGAAGTCTCAAATCAGAGTAGAAAAGAGAACCTCAGAGGAAGTTCTGCCCCAGTCCTCTTGGTGTCCCCTGCCAGAGCTGGGCACCAGGAGCCTGAAGTTCTTTAAGCTCAGCCGCAATCTTCATGTGAAATGCTCTGGAAGCTGCCAGCCCCAGGCAGAACACACAGCGGTCACTGCCCCTGAGCCCCACCTGCCATGGGCTTGCCCAGTCCTCCCCACCCTGCTGGGGAGGGTGTCACTCCCTTCCAGGTGGAGTTCTCCAAGCACTGAGGCCAGAACCTGCCCAGGCCTCCAAGCTGGCAGGTGGCAAGGCTGGAATCTGGGCCCCGCTTGGGTCATGCCTGAGGTCTGCTTCATTGGCTGTTATGGCCTGCAGGCTGTCACTTCTTTCCTTTCAGTTCATAGTGTATGAAGTCCCCGGGCAGGACCTGGAGGTGGACCTGTATGACGAGGACCCTGACAAGGACAACTTCCTGGGCAGGTAAGGGGAGGGCCCACCTGGGCCTGGGGCCCTTGCTTCCATCACTCAGTGACCTCACCGGTCACTCTGACATGGTGACTGTCAGGCACGCTGCCCCATTGTTCCACATTCTTACCACAAGCCTCCTTCCTAAATGTCTCCTGAGTGCCTAGCCCTGAGCTGAGCCCTGGGGTACAGGGAGGATCCCAAGGTTTGTGTCCCATGGGCTCTGCTTTCTGCACTCCTGATAATGTACCCAGAGTTCCCACTTGGAGCAGGGGGCATGGGTGGCCAGGTTCCCAGTGCCAAGGAGCCCTGGCCACTCGCTTTGGGGCAGAACACAGAAACTCAGGGCTGTGGGAGGACTGAAATGGCCGGGCTGGGCTGACTATCAAACCTTCAAACTTGCCCATCTTTTGGCCCAGCTCTCCCTCTTCCAGGAGGTGTAAAATAAAAGCATTACTCCTGAAATATTTATTGCACAACCATCTGTGGTGGCAAAACGAAAAAGCTGAAAATAACATGAATATCCAGCCTCAGAGGACACTGAATGTTTGAATATATTTGCTGTTGCCAAACTACAGAATATCCTACAGCTTCTACAAACGAGTAGATCTGTGTGTAGGACCTGGAGGGTGTCCGTTACGTATTTGTAAGTCGGAGAAAGCAGTTCGGAGTGACCTGTGCAGTTTGATTCATCTTTCCAGGGAGGACTCTTGCTACGTATGTTTGTATGACTGCAGAGAAAAGCTTGGAAGCAGACTATTCACACTGCTCATCTCAGAGGCTGGGGCTAGGAAGTGGAAAAGAGTTTTACCGAAATCTTCATAGTTGTATATTGTTTTGCTTGTTTCCATGAACATGTAATTTTACAAAGCAGAAAAAAAACAAAGTGGGAGGGGTATAATCTGATGGCCTAAGAAACAGCTCACTACTAGATGTTGCTTATCATTTTTATTTTTCATCTGAATGACAAAAGTTCCAAGTTTTGTAAAATTGCAGTTTAGAAGTGTTTGTGATTCCTGTTTTATGTAACTGATTTCAAGCCTAGTTAGAGCTCAGGCACATTTCTCACAGTTACACAGAATTAATGTTCCCCTGGCTGTCAGGATCTTCCATTTGGGATGGGGTCAGGGTAGGTGGGAGGCACACTGTGAATGTGGCTGTTACCTCCTCTCACACACACTTGCCAATCATACTTGGAGAGCACCTGGGGCAGTTTTGGAAATGGGGGGGGCATTAGGGGTTGTCACAATGGCTGTGGGAGGTGGTATCACTGGCCTTTAGAGAGCACAGGACAGGGAAGCTCAGTTCCTGCAGTGCCCGGGCAGCTTTGTACAGTGAGGAAGCACCCCACCCAGATGCCAACAGCACGTCACTGCGGAGTCCAGAGCCACGGCCCAGCCCACCTTGCCACCTGTTCCCCTCGGGGCTCGCCTGCTGCGCAGGGCAGCATGCCCACGGCCCTGATGGGTAGACAGCCCTTCCTTTGCTTGAGTTCAGAGTGGTCTCCCACTGGTTCCTTGGGGTGAATAAGATCCTCTGCCTTGAGGGCCCCACTCAAATAACTGAAAATAGATTCCAGGGCGGGCCTCTGCCTCCCACCTCCTCGTTGCAGAGCTGATCCCCACTCCCTGTGCATTCCAGCCTGCAGATCTGCCTCGGGGATGTCATGACGAACAGAGCAGTGGATGAGGTAGAGTGGGTGCCTGCAACCCCCTCCTGGTGGACATCACTGTTTCCATCCCACAGTGTAGCACTTCTGTCGTATAACCACCTCTACCTGTCCCTCAAGCCCAGGGCCCACTGCCTAGGCTGGTTCACTTTTTCCCTGAAGCCCCTATTAGGGCCCCACCAGGTCCCAGAACTGAGCGGCCTGAAGGAGTCACTGGCCCTGCCCACTCCTGAGCCTTTCTCCCCCTGCAGTGGTTTGTCCTGAATGGCACAACCAGCAGGTGGCTGCACCTGCGCCTGGAGTGGCTTTCACCAATCACTGACCCGGACGCTCTGGCCAAGGTGAGGGGGCTGTCCGGGCCCCCCAGCAGAAAGCATGGTAGAACTTGTGGCAGGCCTGGCCCATGGGCGGGCTGTGCATGTGGAGGGAGGGAGGGGGAACTTGCGGTCCTCTGGCGAGTCCTCCCGGAGAACATGCCCCTCAGCCCTCATCTCCTCCCAAGGCAGCTCCTGATTTCTCAGCAGACAGCCTCTGAGCATCTCCCCCGTCTTCAGGAATGATGGGACCCTTGCAAGCCTGTCAGCCTAGCTCATGGGGGCAGTCCATCCTGTGTCTGACTTGAATCAGATATTCTGCAGTTTAGCCTCAGCCTCCGAATGCTAGGTTGTAAGGGATCTTATGTCTAGTCTGGAGTTCAAGGGCTGGCTGGCTTCCTCCTGCCATGAGGAGGCGTCTCCAAACCCTGTCTGTCTCCTGCTGCTGGGACCCCTAGTGAGAGACTGTGTCTGCTTGTAGGACCAGAGTGGCCCTTCCACTGCCATCCTTGTGGTCTTCTTAGTGCCTGCAACCTGCCGGTGAGTGGGGGCATGGCCAGAGAGTCACACACACCCTGCCTTTTGCTAGCTCTCTCACATGGCCACCTGTTGCTCACTTACCTTATTCTTGTGCTGCAGAGAAACGCTTTTGACTACCCGAATGGCGAATATCGAGCCAAAAAGCAAGGGTGTGTGTGTGTGTGTGTAGGGTGTGTGTGTGTGTAAACTCGAGTGAAAGCAAGTCACAGCTCCTTTTCCCCAGAGTAAGCACAGCCTCCTGCCTTCTGGGAAGCCGTCAGTGTGCACGCAGCCTGGGGATGGCAAGGGTCGCCTTTCTTCAGGACCACTATGTTCTGGGCACTGGGCTTGGTAACTCACCGCCCCTCCCCCACACAGTCAGTATACCTGAGTCCCATGATGACTGGGTATCCATTTTCACTGCCATTTTACAAAAGAGGACCCAGAAGGTTGAGTGCCTGGGCCACACAGCTACGGGAGGGGCGAGAACTTGACTCCACCCTGTCTGTCCCCACCGCTCCAGGGGACAAGAGCTTGTGCCAGCCAGGCCCAGCTCTGGCCTCAGCCCCGTCCTGGGGCTTGCGCAGTGATGGCAGCCAGGGCCCCTGGGAGCACCAGGGTACCTCTCTCAGAGGGAAGCGACTGGCTGGCTCCTGGTCCCATATGCTCCTGGGGCCTGGGGCTGGTCTCTCAAGCTGACACTGATGGTGCCACCTTCATTGAGGTGGATTTTTGCCCCCTCAAAGTCAGCAGAGATCCTTCCTATGTCAAGGTGCCTGTAGGCAAGAAGACACACATGAGCAAGGTGAGCTTGGTGTGCAGCTATGGGACAAAGAAATGGGGTCCCCAGTCCTTCTCAAGGAGAGAAGCAAAAGAAAATTAGAGAACTGAAAAAGATAACTGAATGCCTCGTAGGTGCCAGGATACAGTCCAGGCATTTTATATTAGTGTTCAGAACAACCTCACAGAATAGTTTAACAGCTCAAGAATCTGAGAGTCAGAGGTCAGTGACTTGCCCAAGGGCACATGCTGGATAGAGAGCAGCAGACCCAGGGCCTAAGCGTGGGCATGGCTCCAGGCCTGTGTCCTCCCGCCCGTCCAGCAGCAGCAACCCTGCGTCCCCTCCCTCCTGGAGGAGAGCTCGGAGGCTAGCATGACCTCCACCCCCTGTGGGACTTCCTGGCAATGCTCTCCTTGCCCTTGAGTCCGGATGCCCGCCCTGGGCCCCCCATAAGCTCCAGTGTGCATGCATCTGACACCTGGGCAGACAGAGGAGGCTCCCTGTGGTACTGGGTGGCTGGAGTGAGACCAGAGAGTGCTGGTAGCCTCTCTGCACAACCTGACCCTTCTTCTGCCCTCAGACCTGTCCCCACAGCAAGGACCCTGTGTGGAGCCAGGTGTTCTCCTCCTTTGTGCAGGATGTGGCGGCTGAACAGCTATGTGTGGAGGTTTGCTGGCAATTGTGCTCTGAGAACAGAGAGGCATCTGAGCCAGGAGGGGTGGGGCTTGGCTGTGCACCTTGAGCAGGTTATCCTGGCAGGGAGGTCAGCCCCAAGTCCAAGAGGGTACTGGCACCCCACATCTTCTTGAGGCCGTCACCTATGGTCACTGGGTGAGAGGTCGTGGAAGGACAAACCTTCAAGTCCCTTTGCTCTCCTGAAAAAGAGCCTTTCTGGCTGTTAGACGGCACCCAGAGGCGGCGGGTGTTAGAATCTACCCAGGACATTAGGGTGATGTACTTCTTTAAAAAAAAATTTAATCTTCACAAAATTAAAATCTGTGGGGGAGAGATGTTGTCTTTATTTTATACATGAGCAAACAGGTTCTAACAATGACTTGTCTAAGATCTCATGACCAATGAAGTGGTAGAACTGGGACCTTTGGGAGCCTCAGCTCTGGCTGGATGTGCTGTCTGGATGAGTGGCACAGCTCACTACCCGCCAAGGCCCTCGGTATTTGAGGGACTTGACCTATATGGATCATAATTGCCTCTACCCTGAGTCACTCTTTTCCCCTGAAGATAGGAAGCAGGTCTGGTCCCATTATCAAGCTTTCAGAAAAGGACCAGAGGCCAGTAGAAGCACAGTGTACACCTGCTGAACTGAACTCAGACTTGGCTGGGGCCCAGAGAGTGGTAGTGCTGCGTGTGGGGCTTAGTTAGCCTCTTGTTTTGCAACTGGTCTTGTGCCCAGGTGCTGGATGATGACCAGGAGTGTGCGCTGGGAGTCCTGGAGTTGCCCCTGTGCCAGATGCTCCCCCTGCACAGACCTCACCCTGGAGCAGCGCTTTCGGCTGGACCACTCAGGCCTGGACAGCCTCATCTCCATGAGGCTGGCGCTCCGGGTAACTTCCCCCTTGCCCCCAGGGTAGCGGGCAGAGCTCTGGCTGTGGAGCAAGATGGACTGCCCCAACACGGACCGCCTGCTGTGTGCTGGGAAGAAACTGGGAGATGGATTCACATTTTTCATCAATTTTGGAGTATTCTCAGCCATTCTCTCTTCAAATATTGCCTCTCTGGTTCTTTATTCCCTCCTCCTGGAACTCCCTCTCTGTTGGACCTCATTATCCCCTCCATGTCTTGACCTGACCTCACCTTCCAATTTTTTGCCTATTTGTGCTGCATGTTAATTTCCACAGACCGGTCTTCCAGATCACGAATTATTTCTTAGGCTGTGCCTAATCTGCTATTTTACCTGTTCCCAATTTTTATTTCATGAGCTATTTTTAATTTATAATTTTATCTTTTCCAAATTTACCTTGTCCTTTTTCACTATTTTATTATCATGTCTCTATTCTATCTTTAATCATTTGAAAACACTCATTGTGTGTCTGTTAATTCTATTGTCTAAAGATCTTGGGAGTTAACTTTGATTTTGTTGTGTCTGCTGATGCTTCTTCATGGCAACTCATTTCTGCATCTGGTGACCTGGGTTTGCAAACATACACTCAGTGTTCCTTTGTGACCTGGATCAAGGTTATTCACTTGCTTTTGCTACAACCAGGCACTTCAGAGGCATTACAATCCTGCATCCATTTTTATGCTAATTTTTTAATTTGGGGTTTCAAGAGCACAGAGCAAGTATAAATACTAACTCAAAATTCATAAGGTGCCATGTTCTCAGGAAACACAAGTTCTCCCCAGCCAAAGTACAGGCTGAGGCAGACACATTCCTTGTCACCTTTCTTGGCTGGTGGGTGGAATGTTTATCCCAGAATTATTTGTTCACTGAAGAGATCCCACCTTCATGGGTCTCAGTTCAACTCCCAGCCTCACACTGACCCAAGGCTCATAAATGATCCTGAAAAACCTTAACCTTTATTTTTCAGTTTTCTCTTTTTTAACCCTAGGGTTTTTCTTACTTTCTTTGGAGTTATGCATTTAAAAGACTTTCATTTTATTGGGCATTCCTAATGAGGCTTTTCAGAATATTTTGGCTACCATATTGCTAGAAATGGAAGTCTTGCTAATTAATGACTGAGGGGAAAGGGGCAGGAGAAACACAGTGGCTGAGGTTTGAAACTTTGGTGCTAGGAGCATAGGGGTGTGTGTGGCTAGGAAACACATTTTAGGGAAGGCAGTGGTGCATAAGGTGACGGCAAGACTGGAGGAATAGATCTGAGAGTCCTCCGCACAAAGAGTGCATCCTGTGAGGGGGCTGGGTCTCCAACCACCACTGCGAGTATAGGGAAAGAAGAGGGACAGGACTGAGTCTTCATGAAGACCCACTATTTGGGCAGGAGTAAGGGAAAAGACAAAGCAGCATTGGTCAGAGGGGGCTGGGGCAGAGAGTGGTTAAGAAAGATAGGGTCTGGAAGAAAAAAAATCCATTGGATTCAGCAGTCAGGAAGGAGCCATTTCTCAAAAGCTGAGTGCAGAGGAGGAGAAAGAGAAGTGGTAGGCCCAGCCCACAAACAACCCTGTCATTTGCTTGCACTTCCTGTGTGTAGAAGAACGAGAGATGGGGAGCCCATATACAGGATCTGAAGCCCTAAAGAAAGATCCTTTGTTCATTAAGAAGGTGGACATCAACCAGGGCTCCAAGACCCCACACCAGGGAGAGGGCCCTGCTGATTTGCCAGGCCCTCCACCCCCTGCTTCTGATACCAAAGACGCCTCCAGGAGTGCCACAACAGCCACCAATGCCACCAACTGTTGCCAGTAAACCAACACCCCAGGAGGTAGGCCCAGAGCCCAAAGGCAAGGACAGTGCCAAAGGGTTCTGGGAGCCTGTGGCGGAAAAGAGGAGTTCATCCACCATCTTCCTGATTGTCCCAGGCCCTCACTCTCCAGGGCCCATCCAGTCACCCAGACCCGTGAAATGCCCTGCCTGCCCGTTCGCATGGCCACCCAAGAGGCTGGTTCCCAACATGTCCTCACTCAACTGTCTGGCCACCTCCTGCTTTGACCTGACAGATACCAGCCTCAACAATGAGCATGTACCTCTCTGCTTAATCTTTTCTAAAATCACCTGCATGAAAAATACCTCCCTGAATGGAAAAGCAGATGTGAGCTCACGTTTATGTGCACATTCTGGCTCTCACGTAACGACTTCATGAGAGGCAGCACTGCGTGGCAGGAAAAGCAGGCACACACCAGACAGGTGGTGTGGCTTTAACTACATGCCAACCGTAAAACAGATGCTATATTCTGGTTGGTATGTTCATTACAGCAGAAGTGTTTCCTGAGTTCTAAAGTATACTGGGATGGTATGGAAAGCTCAGAATGTGGAAGTCTGTGATCCACGGCTGCCATTTATTAAGTGGTCACTGTGGGCTTTGGATGTTGTTTCAATTTGATCATCATGATAACCCTACAAGGCAGAATTCACTATCATAAAGGTCGAAAACTCACCCAAGGTCCCACAGGAAATCATGGAATAAAGGCAGACCCACTCCAGGGTTCAAGACTTCCTTCCATGAGGTACGATAATTATATATACATGCTGGATGGAACTGACTTTCGAGTGAAAGGAACCTTACTGAGAATTATTAACCCACATGGCTCTAGGTTCCTAAAGCAGGGCATACTTCTGGCTTGGGCGTGTGGGGTGAGGCCAACACTTAGCACGTAAGAAGTGACAGGCCCTTTCTTTACAGAGGCGGGGAGCTCAGGCAGCAGGGGCTGGGCGAGATTCAGCTCGCTGTGCGCTACGTGTGTCTGCGGCGCTGCCTCAGTGTGCTCATCAACGGCTGCAGGTAAAGGGAAGCTGGGGCCAGGACAGGTCCTTGGGGAGCCTCAGGTGGACAGAAATCAGAGTGGGGGCATGGAACAATGGCAGAGGCAGGCAGCCCTAAGGTAGATAAGTCACACACAGGGAAGGAAGAAGGTTGGAAGGCCTGCACGCTGTGAGCACCAAGGTCCTCAGTGGTGCTGACAGGCTCCAAAGCCAAGGACTGCTTAGACAACCGCTGCAGAACTGGACTGGCTGGGAGCCAGTGCACTTTCTCAAGTGGGAAGCTCCAACTCCCTTTGCATATAAAGTACATGCTCTGCTCTAGACTTTGAAAAACCCATTCTTAAAACCATGCATCTGATGTTTTGTCCTCCAAATTCTGGAGACTTTTGCTCTTAGTTACCAGACTACAGGACATTTTATCCTCAAGGCCATCTATAACTGAATGGCTAGTACAGTTTTCTCTGAATGAATTTTTTTCAGTGTTTTAAAACCAGGGGCCTTTTTTCTTTAATATTTTTGAAACCAAATCAGAAACCTGATGCCCTGTACCAGCAGTGGAGCTGATCCCTACATCTGTGTCTACCTGCTGCCAGACAGGAAGTGGGCATGTCATAAGAAGACCTCAGTGGCACGGAAGACCCTGGAGCCCCTATTTGATGAGACGTAACTGGGCCCGTTGGCCTGCCTAGAGTGCCTCATGCATTTGAATATTTGCTGTGTACCTGTTGTGTGCCTGGTAGCCTGCTAGATGCTGGGAAGGGCTAGAGTTGAACAGGACAATGTGGTCTTTGCCTTCATGAAGCTTCTATACCTTACCAGAGCAGTTTAGCTGAAGAGCCACCCATGTTTCTTTCCCCTGGGGGTGGCTAAAGTGTTCCCGCTTATGAAATGTCCTATACTCTTTCTCTTTAAATGAAACCTCTGGCAATAAAAGGATTTGGATATAGTCAAACATGTATTCTTTGAATCTGCTTTAAAAGCAACAGTTAAAAATAAACATACATTGAACCTAAGGATTTAAAATTTCCTCCAAAGCTCCAGTCTTCCCTTATGCAACAAAGCATAGGGGGCAGATATGTTTCCTATATATTTACTTTTACCAGTGAGATTAATACTTCCATGTGTGTTCTTGTTGCTAATTAGTGCCCTTTTTAAGGCCACTTTGGTGATGATGAATTCCTTTGGCTTGTCTGGAAAATTTTCTCTCTTCTTCAGTACTGAGTGAGAACTTTGCCAGGTAGAGTACTCTTGGTTGGAAGTCTTCTTCTTTCAGCACCTTGCAATCCTAAGGGAGTGGCAATGGTATATTCAAAGTTTCTGCTCATAGTCCTAAAGGTGTTCCTTATACATAACAAGCTCTTTTGTTGTTGATTTTAAGATTCTCTTATCTTTAACTTTTGATATTTTAATTATAATGTGTCTTGATGTGGGTTATACATTCACAGGAGGCCTTGGGTAGAGGTTGCCAAGTCTGCCCTTCAGATAATCCAGGCATAACTTTCTATTATAATTTTGAGAGGAAGAATTACTAACAGATTAGGTTTATATAAAAGTCAAACGTCTCCTTCCTGTGTCCCCCTATAACAATTTTGGCATCCTTTAATAACTGTGCCAGAGCTCTTTTTGAGGGCAAAACCTTCTACTTGTGTGGCTCTAGAATATAGGATGATATCTGGCAAAGTGTTCAATAAATACTGAGGGAACAAATTCTCTCCTCCACACCCTTTCTTAATATTGATGACCCCAAAGTGTAGTTCTTGAAGGGACATATTAGTTCTTAGACATAGCTAAAGATGAATCAGGACACCTCTCTTAAAATGAGTAGTTATTGACCAAGATGAGAGGAAATCAAAATTATTAGGTATCATATCTTCCTAGGCTAGTTAGAGATGTCTTTTCTTCGGATCCTGAAGCAGAAGGAAGCAGTGATGAGATTCTGACTTCAGTACTTTGAGGTCAAATCAAAACCAAGAATATTTGTGATAACACTTGCTACCAAAGACCCATTAAAAACAAGAAATGTGATTAGAGTGTCTATCAGTCTTAACCCAAGGACCTGAGTAGACAAGCCAATGTAAGCTATCTGTTTCATCTGCCACCTATGCTTTGTTGCAGAGGGAAGACAGGCGTAAAAATTTGGAACTTTGGAAGAAATTTTAGGCCTATAGGTTCAAGGTATGTTTATACTGTTGCTCTTAAGCCAGATTCAGAAAAAACATTTGACCAGTTTCAAATCCTTTTACTGCTAAAGAGGCTTCATTTAGAGAGAAAGAAACAGGACAATTTCTAAGTAGTTATACTGCTTAATCATTTATAAATATACTGGTTATTCACTTATAAAGCTAGTATGAAAGTTAAAAGACAAAAGAAATAAAAATATTTTTAACTACAGTAATTAGTTACGGGATACACCAGATGAAAAGATATAAAAGTGAAATTAAAATATAAAACTTGAGTTGGGGAGTAGAAATGTGGAACTTTGGAATGTGTTAAAACTTAAATTCTCAACTTAAGCTTACATATAACAACTTTTAAGCCTACCTTAATGGTAACCACAAAGCAAAAACCCACAGCAGGTACAAAAAAAATAAAGAAATCTAAGCATACTACACAAAAGAAGAAAACAAAAGAAGAAAGAACAGAGAGGAACTATAAAGCAGCCAGAAAACAATTAACTAAATGGCAATAAGAAAATACCTATCAATAATTACTTTAAATGTAAATAGACAAGAATTTCCAATCAAAAGGCATAGAGTGGCTGCATGGAAAAAAAAAAAAAAAGGACCCATCCATCTATATAAGAGACTTCAAATAGAAACCAAAAGAAATTTAGGATAGCTTTAGACAAAATGGACTTTAAACCAAATAAGAAACAAGGACATTACATAATGATAAAAGAATCAATCCAACAAGAGGATATAACATTTATAAATACTTATGCACCCAACATAGGAGTACCTAAATATATAAAGTAAATATTAACAGACCTAAAGGAAGAAGTAGAAAACAACACCATAACTGTAGGGGACTTTAATACCCTACTTACATCAATGGATAGATCATACATAAAATCAATCAGGAAACAGTGGCTTTGAATGAAATACAGAGCAAGGGACTTATTCTATACGGAACATCCCAATAAAAAGCAAAAGGATATACATTCTTGACAAGTGCACATAGAACATTCTCCAGGGTAAATTACATGTAGGCCACAGAACAATTCAAAATAAATTTAAGAAGATTGAAATCCTATCAAGCATCTTCTCCAACCATAGGATATAAGCCTAGGAAATCAAGAAGAAAAACAGAAAATTTACAAAGCTTACCAAAAGTTTGGGATGCAGCAAAAACAGTTCTAAGAAGAAAGTGCATAGTTATGAATGCCTATATCAATGCACAAGAAATAGCAAATAAACAACCCAACTTTACACCTCAAGGAATTAGAGAACAAAGAAAGCCAAAGTTACTAGAAGGAATAACAAAATCAGAGCAGAAATAAATGAAGTAGACTAAATAGGAAAGATCAATAAAGGTACAAGCTGATTCTTTGGAAAGATGAAATTGACAAGCCTTTAGCTAGATAAAAAGAGGACACAAAATCAGAAATGAAATAGATATTACCATTGGCACCACAGAAATACAAAGGATACACATCACACACATCTACCATGCACAGATGTACATTCCAAACATGCACATATACACATTAAACATATTCACACATGCCCTCCATACGTGCACACATGCACACACTGGTCAGGCACGCTCTACATAAACATGTGCACATGCAACATTCATACACACCTGCCACATAGTGAAGTCTCCATACATACATATGCACACATTCTAGAACCCGATGAGACACCCTCAGGCCCTCTGGTCTTGAGCAGCATGTCTAAAATCTGTTCCTAACCCCAGTGAGAATGACCCACAGTGGCTTTGGGCCCAGAGTGGATGTGCTGCTGCCTAGGAGGCCTGGTGGTCAAGCCCAGGACTCTCCCCTCTCCTCACCCTGCAGAGATTCCTCACTGGGTGGTAGCTGTAGGCGCCTGACTGCAGAAGCAGTTGCTGCAAGGTGCCGATCAACTTGTGACACTGATGGCTCTCCTGCTGCACGCCCTTGAGCTCATCAGCCAGGCGGGCCAGCTCCTGCTGGCCACGTTCCTGCTGCTCCAGGCTGGCCTGCAACCATGCCTCCAGCTGGACCACACTGGCACTCAGGCAATCCTGGAAGTGCAGCAGGTACTCGATGAGCTGTGTCAAGCACAGAACCTTGAGCAGTGCAGGGTCCACAGGCTGCCCACAGCGGATGCACACCTCCCAGTCCAAGTTGCAGAAGGTGACACCATTGAGGAGCTCCTGTAGGATGGCCACGTCCACCTCCCATGCCATGTGGCCCACATCCAGGGCGCTAATGCGCCTCCAGTCTATGCTTTCACAGTGAGGCTGGAGCTAAAAGGTAGGGAAGGTAAAAGTCCCAAAGATAGAGCCACTGAGGCCCTCAGCAGTGGTCGTGAGGGACTGCATGGGGAGGGGAAGCCCTGGGCTGACCACCGTGGGTGGGTGCCCCCAAGGCCACGGCGGCAGGCAAAGTTGCTGAGAGAGGGCCTGGAAAATGAGAAGAGAGTCCAAGTTAGGCAAGATGCATGTGGCTAGTCAACAAGAGACTAAGTGGGTGAGGTGAGGCATCTGTGCCACAGCCTGCTATGCGTGGAAGGTGCTGACATGGCCACAGCTGTGGAAGGCAAGAGCATGGGCTTCCCTGTCACACACATGTGGATTCCCATCCTCAGCCTTGGGCAAGCCCCTTCCCAGTTCTAAGCCTCCTGGGTATAATTGGGATCATGGGTCCCACTTTGCAGGCTTATGGTTAAGAATGAGGCAGATGAAGTACCCAGCCTAGTGCCTGGTACATAGTGGGTCCTCAGTCTACTATAAGAATGCCTGCAAGAGGTCTTTGTTGGGGGGAGCTGTCAAACATGCATGGGCCTTTCTGTAACCCCGCATTGTCTCAGAACA